AAGCACGGGATATATTATCAGCATTGGGATCATTGACTTTGGATCTAACTGAAGCCCGGGATACATTATCCGCATCACGATCAGCCGCCTTGCCCTGTCTCCTAACGGATAAATTTCGTATTTTGTGTGCGTTAGCTCTCGACTTGGCTGACACGCGTGATACATTATCCTCGTCGTAGACGTTGGCCCGTCTCACGGAAACACGCGATATCATATCAGTATCCCGAGCCCGCGGGATATTATCTGCTTGATGTTCTCTGGCTCTAGATCCTGCCGAAACACGAGAGATGTTGTCCGCTCTTGCCTTGCCCGAGGCGAAGGAATCGCTCTCAGCTCTAAAGCTACTTTGAACGGATCTGTCGTCCTGATGCTGGCCCCCGGCACCCGATCGTTGGTATCCTTGGGAGGCATTGTCTGCCCCGTTGCTTTGCCTCGATGTATTGAGATTGGGCTTAGCCGTCAGTGTGATGTTCGATTCGGTGCGAGCGTGCGAGGATACGCTCTCATTATCCTCGTGTTGGCCAGCCTTCGACTTGGCTCTACTCTTCCTCGATGGGGCTACCGATGGCTCGATATCTAGAACGGACACGCTGCTGACTTGCGAGGCCGCAGCGCCTTTTCGAACAGGCATTATGACGGTCATCGAGTTTCCGCCACGCCCCTTCTCTGACAGGTCCACCCTGGACTGGCGGCCGGCGTTAATGCGTCCGTCGTTAGTAGCGAAATTTTTGGCCGCCGCCATCTCCTCATTGATGGCCTTCGATATGGAAACTTCGCCCCTCTGCGATTTTGTTGCCTTAACATCACAGGACCTAGCGAGCGAGTCCTGCGAGACAGATCTGTTGATATGCTGCTTTGGCGGCGGCCAGGTCGCATACACTGGCTCCGGATAGGTTGTACTCCTGGGCATCTTATAATCATAGCGCTGGCCCTGGCTCTCGGGCGGCCCCACGCTGAACGGATTGAAGAGTATGCCCTCGTCATCCACAAACATGTTGGCAATGTGCTTGATAAACTGTTCTAGATGTGTTAAATAATCTCGCTTTGATTTTAATACAGGCTTACCTACAGTCTATTTGTTAAAATATTGAGTTCAGGAGCCCTGTGCAGATCTCCTGCAATGTGTTTCGAATACCAAAAATGTTCAATTCTGTATTAGCTATGCGTTAGCGCATTTTATTTTTTCTGGGACAAGACAAAATGTCTACACGATTAGAAATTTTTCAGAGAACTAAATGAAAGGAGTTTCGAATCAATTCGAATTAAATGTGTTCTAAATAAACCGATCTGTCTTAGTAGTCTGAGCTGCATTCTTCAAAATGTTGTGCAAACACTGCCCTGAATATACCCTGTAAAATATTGTTTAATATATTTATTTAATTTTCTTTTTTGTGAGTCGTTGAGATGGGAAGCAAGAACGAAACTTCTGCAAATAACAAAGACACGTAATTCATTTGAAACCTTAATGGCATTAAATAAATAAACACCTTAATAAACAAAACTAAAATTAAAAAAATTACATATCCTTTCAAATTGTCCTAAATCCTCAGTTTGATTTAATTTAATTGATTTATTTATTTTTATTTTTATTTATTTTTATACCCTGAACCCATTGAAAATGGGAAATCAGGGTATAATG